AAGACACACCGTACAAACAGGAATCAACAGAAAGCTAGAGTGGCTGTATTAATATCAGGCAAAGAAGACTTCAGAACAAAGAAAATTATCAGGGATAAATAAAGACATAGCATCCTGATGAAAGGGTTCTCTCACTAAGAAGATAAAACAATAAATGTGTACGCATCTAACAACAGAAATTTAAAATACATAAAGAAAAACTGATACAACTGAAAGGAAAAACAGACAAATCCACAACTGTAGCTGGAGACTTCAAATAACTCTTATAGTAACAGATAGGATGAGCAGACCAGAAATCCGCAAGGATATGGAAAAGTTGAACACCACCATCATCCAACTGGATCTCACTGACATTCGTAGAGCACTAAGCCCATCAACAGCAGAATTTACATTTCTTCCCAGGAACCCAGGAACATTCACCAATGTATACAATATTCTGGGTAATAAAACAAATATTTACTAATTTAAGAGAACTGAAATCATATAAATTATATTCTCTGATCATCATGGAATTAAACTAGAAATAAATAACAAAGATAACAAAAATATCTCCAAATCACTTGGAAATTAAACAACACACTCAAATAATCCAAGGATCAAAGAGGACATCCCAAGGAAAATTAGAAATTATTCTGAGCTGAATGAAAATGTCAATACAATATATCAAAGTCTGTGGGGTGCAGCTAAAGTAGTGCTTAAAGAGAAATTTATAGTATAATACTTACATTAAAAAAGAAACGTCTCAAATCCATAATCCAAGCTTTCATGTTAAGAAACTAGAAAAAGAGCAGAACAAACCCAAACCCAAAGAGGGAAGGAAAAACAGAGCAGAAATCAATGTGGTAAATGTGGTAAATAATAATAATAAATAATGTGGTAAATGTAGGCCCAAATATATCAATATCTAAATTTACCAAGTACAACAAATAAAAGCCTAACTAACGTTGTTAGATTAGATAGAACCAAAATAAAACACAACTACATGATGCTTACAAGCATACCTTAAATATAAGGGCACAGAGCAACTGAAGTTTAAAGAACGAAAAAAGAGATGCCACACAAATTGTAACCAAAGGAAGGTGGTATAGCTAATATCAGACAAAGTCGACTTTAAGCCAATAATTATAACTAGGAATAAAGAGAGACATATCATATTTATAAAAAGATCAACTGACCAGGAAGATGTATCAAGTCTAAATCCTAAACGTACCTAATAACAACCTCAAAATCTGTAAAACAAAAAATGACAGAACCAAAGTGAGAGTTACACAAATCCATAAACATGGTGGGATATTTTTCAATCTCTCCCAGTAACATGTATATGAAAATCAGAAGGGATATGGACGTTTTATACAACAAGATTAACAAACCTGACCTAACTGACATATATAGAAAAATTCATCTAACAACTGCAGAATATATGTTCTTTTCAAATGTACATGGAAACTTTTCAACATATACCACATACTGGGTCAGAAAGCAAGTTCTGACAAATTTCAAAGATATAAATCTAACAAAATATGTCAGGATCTATATGTTAAAAATTATAAAACGCTGAAAAAATTTTAAAAAAACTAGATAAATGGATATAATGTGTTCATGAATTAGATGACTCAGTATAGTAAAGATAATAGTTTTCCCAAAATACAGGTTTAATGCAGTTTCTATCAAACCCCCAGCAGGATTTTTTGCAGACCCACACGAACAATATCAAAGTTTTGACAAGCGTGCAAAGGTAACTGAATGGGGGAACATTTTTGAACAAATGATGCTAGACACCCATATGCAAAACCATGACCCTAGGAACATATCTTAATACCTCAAATAAAACATCATTCAAGGGAATTCCTGGGCGGTCCAGTGGTTAGGAGTCCACGCTCTCACTGCCGAGGGCCTGGGTTCAGTCCCTGGTCTGGGACTAAAATCC